TGAGGAGCAGAAGACCGCTTTGATTGAAAATTATATTTTTCTCTCTGTTCTATACAAATATGACCTTGTATAAATATTAATTATTTCATATTAGTAAAAGGATGACTTAAATTAACTGAATTACTATGTATTATTATTATTATTAGTAGTATTATTATTATTATTATTATTATTATTATTATTATTACTACACTTTACACACTTTGACTCCTTTTTGGAAGTGGCGCTGTAAATCTGGAAATGTGGGCAGAGCAGGATTTCATATTTGTGGTTTCTCCCTGTTTCAGGCCTGTGAGGAGGCGAGGTGGACCGTATAAAACAGAACCTGTCACAGACCTGAGTCGCTGGAGGCTGATCTCTGTGGAGAACCGGCACAGCTGGGAATATGTGGAGGATCAGGAAACCCTGGGCAGAGAGCACACTATGCTGGAAGCTCATTCTCTGGGTTTGGACACTGTACGTTTCAATCATTTCCCTGTCACAATAAAACACTGTTAAAAACTGAAATTTAAATGTTTTGTGAATCATTAAATAAACCTAAACTCAATTCACACCTTAGCCCCAATTTAAAAATGGTGTTCCACTATTTTAGGACCAGGTTTTGGTCCCCAAAAGGACCATCAGTTTTATAGATGTGGGCCCTCCTGTTGACCCCACTGTTGTAAATATCTTGTAAACAAGAGAAAGGTGCTGCAGAAATTGGCTGAGCAGTCATTAAAACTCGCTGGAGAGGCCTCCTCTTCTCACAGTTCAGTTTTTTGTGCCACTCCGCCATGAACCAGTGACGCAGTCTGGTGTTTGTGCAGTGTTTAAACACCAGGTGAGACCCTCGCTGATGTAACTTGAAGGTTTCATCTACAGATTTCAAGCTTTTTTGTGTTATTTGTAGGTGAAACAACAAACTCATGAAAAGTAATCTGGATCTCTCCACAGAGCAAGTTTGTTCCTGACTCCCCGGCTGCACAAACAGCTTTTGATGCAGCTATGAAAGGCATGAACTTCTACAGTCAGCTCCAGGCGGAGGACGGTAGCTGGGTGGGGGACTTTGGCGGACCCCTCTTATTTATGCCAGGTAAGATGCATCACTCTCCTGTTTTACTCTTAAGGTAAATATCTGCAGCACTTCCATTCTAACTGAACTACATTCAAATGGAGTGGACGGTGATGCAGACCTTTGGTTGTCTGTTGATATTCCCAGGTCTTCTTGTTGTGTGTCATGTGACTAAGATCCAGCTGCCGCAGCCCTGGAAGAAGGAGATGGTGAGGTACCTTCGCTCTGTCCAGCTGTCGGATGGAGGTTGGGGACTGTACGTCAACATCAAACATTTTATCTTACAATCTACTCACTGATATTCACCGGCTGTAAGAACATGTTTCTATCTGATTTGTGGAGACTTCAGGTTTAGGAAGCAGTGAAAGAAGGTGGGAAAGGTTCATTCCTTCTCCCAACACTTAAACATTCTGACAGTGAGGACACCAAGCAAAGAAGAGATTCTTTCTGACAGTACAGGATTGTTGGCATCGTCACATTCTTGGACTATAAATTTAAAAACTGTAATCAGTAGTTTGTGGGAACCATAGGGTTTCTGCTTTTTGCAGTTGATGAAGATCTGTCTTCAAGACATGACCTCCACGCAGTCAAGTGTGAAGCACCTGGGAGCGTGGGAATAGGATATAGGTTTCTGGGCTTCATGAAGATTGAACCACATCTGGACTACAAACTAAAACTGTCACGTTTGGATATGGATTCAGAATAAGCCAAACACAGGAGTGTTTGTGAAACGGTCTAAATAATGTTCCTCCACAAAAACAACTGGAAAGACTTGGAATCTCCTTTTCTTAATGTCATCAAAATATTGAGTTCTGAAGAAAAACCCAGGCCTCCCTTGCAAAAGAGATCTGTGATCTCAATGGGATTTGCCTGCTTAAATAAAAGGTTAATAAAATAATAAATAAATAAATAAAGATTAGAAGAATCTGTAGAAATCTCTGGGCTCAAAGGAGGAGGATGAAAGTCAATTTTGGATGGTCGTGATCTTCGGGCCCTCAGGGACCACTGCATTTGAAACCGTTCTGGTTCTGTTCTGGGCTCAGAAACACTTCCACCGATCATGGTTTGTAAACACCGTTCACCGGTCCATTCACAACTTATGCTTAAAGCTCTATCAGGCAAACAAGAAGCCGCATGTGAACACCATCCAGAACTGCTGCCATCTTCTCTGGACCAAAACTTGTTTCAAATGGGGTGAAGTCCAGAACTGTTCTGTGGTCAGACAGATCCAAATCTGCTGATCTTTTTAGAACCAACCAAAAAGAGGAAAGAGGAAACGGACCATGTAGCCTGTATTCAACGCACAGCTCAAAAGCATGTCTCTCTGATGGTATGGGGGTGTATTAGTTCCTCTGGCATGGGCAACGTAAACATCTTGAAATGTTCCTTAAATGCAAATGTTTACTAAGTTCCATTTTGAATAAAATATGAGTTTGTCAGATGTGCAAGTTTTTGCAATTTTTTTTTTAATTTACATTTTACACTTCTAACATTTTGCAATTGGGGTTGTTGTAAAACAAAAAGCTTTAAGAAACATAACTTTTATGCTAAAAGCGTAAAACATAACAGCAGATTTTTGTGGATTCTTTAGACATATTGAAGATAAATCTACAGTGTTGGGAACAGCACTGAACTACATCACAATGAGGATCCTGGGAGTGAATCCTAATGACCCAGATCTGGTCCGTGCTCGGAACAACCTGCACAAAAAAGGTTTGAATAATCTCACACACCGTGTCAGTGATGATAAACAGACTTTTAAAAAAGATTGTCTTTAAAACAACTCATGTTTTTCAAAGATATGAATGTAAATTTCCTTCCACTTCCTTTGTACCATGTCACCAGTTGCATAGCCAATTGGGGGCCAATGGTGGCCTCAGCCATCTTTAGCCAACCTCAAATCTACGTTTTGTCTGCAACATTTTTGCATAAGTATGCTGATAAAGTTGTAGATATCTGTTCTGGTCATCGCTGTGAGAAAAAAAAAAATATTTCTGTAGTGACAGTATTTTGAAATTGTTTTTTTTTTTTTTTTATGCTGATTTGTGATTAGGTGGTGCCGTCGGGATTCCAACATGGGGCAGGTTCTTGTTGGCTGTTTTAAATGTCTACAGCTGGGATGGATTTAATTCATTATTTCCAGAGCTGTGGTAAGTTAAAGCCAGTCTGTAATGTTGTCTTCTACCAGCTTTCTTTACCGTACTTTCCGCCGTACACGTCGCACCGCCGTATAAGTCACATCAGTCCAAAAATGTCTAATAAAGTGGGAAAAAATATAAATAAGTTGCTTCACCATATAAGTCGCATCTATTATGCGTCACCGCTGACAACCTAGAAATGCGGGCTGGTGTGCCAAAAATCGATAGGCTGCTAAATGGCAGCCGCAGAAGTGTGCACGGGAGGACTTTAACAAGAATTTAACTAGATTAAATCTTAAAAACAGTTATTTGTTTGCTCAACATTATAGCAAAGGTGTGTCTCAGTTTCACTTTTCCTTAAGAAATGCACTTTAATGGTCAAATCTGATGCATTTCGCCTGGGCGGCAAAGTGAAATGCAGTTGATTTGATGTTTGCTCCTGGAGTTCTGGAGCGAGATGATGGTGGCTCTATGGCAAGCCAAGTGTCTCATTAATAGTCACTTTTACCTTTGAATGGGACACTTGGCTTGCCATAATGGTCCAAGGCCCTCTAGTGGCTGCAAACGGTAATGTTTAATATATTTTTATGTCAAAATGAATGAAATGGTCAGATCTCATCCAAAAATCGGGTTATAAGTATGGGGGAAAAAACTTATATTAATCGCTTCAGTGTATAAGTCGCAGGACATGCAAATCTATGCAAAAAGGTGCGACTTATATGGCAAAAAGTATGGCATTTCTTTACTGCTGATGTGTGAGACAAGTATACAATGTTGTGTAAAAGTCTTGTTCAGATCAGGGATGTGTTTTATGTTTCAGGCTGCTTCCCAGTTGGATGCCAGCCCACCCCTCATCCTTGTGGTGCTACCTGAGGCATGTCTACCTGCCTATGAGTTACTGTTACGCTGTCAGACTGACTGCAAAGGAAGACCCTCTGATTCTCAGCCTCAGACAGGTGCTTATCTCACCATGAACCATGAGAGTGAGCCTTGCTTGTTACTGTTAGCAGTAACATTGAGCCTGACCATTCGAGTGTCCTTACCAACAACATGACATGATTGCAGCTGCTCCGTTTGCTTGCAACAAGTTTATCGTAATGATTTAAAACGTCAAACTATCAAAAGCATCTGACGTCTGGTGCTTGTTCTCTCAGTTGGAATAAAAAAAAACGTTGTTTCATAAAATTAAAATTCACCTGTTATATGTCCATTTTCAGAGCTAATTTGACTCACTTTGAAAAAAACGACTGATCAGGAACAGTGTGTTATATTTTATGTTGTGGCGTAGACTAAATTTAGAAACAAAAATTCCACAAACAACAATGTCATTTTGGCTAATGTGTAAAACCCAGCCTCCATAGCTCCGATGTACTTAACTGTAGAAACATCCTTCAAAGTTGAAATAGTTCACAGACAGTTGTACTTTATTTGACTGAATTGACATTTTAACTGTTTTAAAACCTTCATCTTATTGTAATAATGTCATAATGTTGTTTTTTTGAACTTTCTAAACTTTATAAACATAATTTCTTAGCCCCCCCAACATTGAAACCTAGATTTGGTCTTCTTTCATCCAATGTGTCTCTCACTCCTGTAGGACTAGGTTGGTTTTTTTTTTTGCAATTCACTCCAGACATCAGGATGCACACACCCAAACTCCAATTGACTTCCATTGTATCTGAGCTCCTTTTCTCTTCAAAACGTTAATATATATCCTACATAAAACTCTATAGATGCATTAAAAGTCATGTGACCATCAGCGACTTCTGCTACTGAGGATTCAGGATTATTTTTCCAATACAACTTAGTTTTTCCATGGTAGGTTTACGTTCTACTCTACATTTTTGTCTGTCTGTCTTATTAGTAGTACTGTCAAGACATTACAGATGCAGGTATGTATGGTTACCGTGGCAATTCCAGCGAGCCACTGGCACAACTAGAGTTTAAACATCACAACGTCAGCAATTCTATCCCAGATGAAGGTTTCAAACTTGGTTAAAAAAGGGACTAAATTAAAAACATTTCAAACAAAGGGGCAGTTTCAGTCACACTAACTCCAGTCAGATATTTGACATTTTTTCTTGGTTGCAGCTTCCTCATCAAGAGGTTCATCAATACAATTTGACGTTCTCTGTGGCTCTTTCCGTTTCAAAAATCAAAGATTACTGAAAATTTTCAATCTAATTTTCTTGGCTTCAGGGTTAACCAATGATCATGAGAAGTCTGCACTAAATAAAGTAAGCTAAGCTTTTAAAGTAAATGAGAAGCAATTAAAATATGTTTTAAAAGATCATTTTGGTAGCCCGGTAACGTTAACAAGGGCCACATTTGGCCCTCGGGCCTTGAGTTTGGCGCTTCGATCATTACAAAATAATTTCTAAATTCCCACTTGAGTTTCTAGCAGAAAGTTGATGGCAGTCTGAGACTGAAGCTGCATCGGCACCCTTCAACATTTCTGTATACATTTTCTATTTAAATTTCTTATGGTCCAAAATGACTAATATTTTTGTTCGGACCACTAACATGAATTTAAGGTCCATTAAGGCTTTCGAGTTCATATTTTTTCAGCTGTAACACTTTGTAATTTGACAATTTTAGGGATGTGTTGAGTCCATACTTCTGAGTTGTACTGGGCGGCTGTGGCTGAGTGGTTAGAGCAGGCGCTCTCCAATGCAAGAGTCGGGGGTTTGACTCCTCCAGCAGTTACATGTCAAAATATCCCTGGGCAAGACACTGAACCCCTCATTGCCTCTGATGTGTGTCCCATCGGTGTATGAATGTGATAAAGCACTGATTATTCTTTGTATAGCTATAGTAGAGTGATGTATGAATGGGTAAATGAGGGCACAGATTGTGTTGTAAAGCACTTTGAGTATCTTGATAAGATAGAAAAGCACTATATACAGTAAGTGCAGTCCATTTACTATAAGTCGATTACAGGAAGGCCACTTTTTTGGCCATCATTTTTCATCAGATCCTAGATATCAACGTTTGTTGAGTGATTTCACATTGTTTGCCTTTCAGGAGCTTTACGTCCAGGACTATGCCACCATTAACTGGCCCGCTCAGAAGAACAATGTGGCAGCATGTGACCTGACTGTACCTCGTAGCAAACTGCTGGAGTTCATCTACAGTAAGCATGCACAACACACCATATGTATGCCCATTGATGTCATGCAGATAACTTTGTGACTTTTGTTTTACTCTGGCAGTGGTGTTGAATGTCTATGAAGGCTACCATAGCACCACCCTGAGAGAAATGGCTCTGAAAACGATGTACGAGCACATCAAGGGTCATGACCGCCTCACCACTTATTTGAACATTGGAGCGGTAAGATAAGCTCATACATCATGACTTAAAAACAAAGAACTGATACTGTGGATTTAATCCTTCTGAAATTAATTATAGATCCCCAAGACCTTGAGCATGTTGGTTCACTGGTATGTGGACGGCCCTTCTTCTCCAGGGTTTCAGGGCCATGTGTCCACTATCCCCGACTACATCTGGTCAGTCTGCTGCTCTTCAGTAACATTTACAAAAGCTTGAGCAGCATCACATGTACATTGATTTTTGTTGATTCTCATAGCTCTTACCTGGCTGCTGTTTGTCTCAGTATGTTTAGATTTAGTTATTTCAAGGAGTTGGTTTACTTATTTTTAGGGGGAACAGTTTTGAACGCCATAAAAAACAGTTTTGGTTTTCAAAAATTTGGAGCTCAAGACGTAGCTGTACTGCTTTCTGGTCACTTGATTGCAACCACTCAGATTTCAGTCAACTTGCAAGAGAAACTTTGATAACTCAAAATTGCAAGAAAATAGACAAATATTCTCCAACAGTTGCAGACAAGTGGAATACAATGCACCACCATGCAGAAGCTTGCAATATCCATTCATCATCCATCGTCTTTACCCGCTTCTTCATGTCCGGGTCGTGGGGGGTCACTGGATCCCATATCCAGTGATCACTGTGTGAGAGGAGGGGGACACCCTGAACAGGTCTCCAGTCCATCACATGGACACAGAGACAAAAGAGACAAACAACCATTCACTCTCTCACTCACACTCAGGGACAATTTGGAGTTACCAATCAGTCTAACTTGCATGTTTTTGGTCTGTGGGAGGAAACCGGAGTACCTGGAGAAAACCCACACATGCACGGAGAGAACATGGAAACTCCACCCAGAAAGGCCCCCGGATGGGATTCGATCAGGCGACTTTCTCGCTGAGAAGTGGCAGCTCTACAAACAGCTCCACCCAATTTATTTATTTCAATATTTCAATGAAAAAATTGCATTATTTTGTGGGAAAGCATCCCAAAATATTCCAAATGAGTTTTAGTTCATAGTACCCAGAGGTAGTACCAGTAAATCATGATGTGCAAATTTTTGGGCAATTCTAATTGTTAGCAAAATATATAAAAACATTGATAAAGTTGACAATTAACGAGTTTTCTTTATTCTAGGATGGGGTTGGATGGCATGAAAATGCAGGTGGGAATTTGCTTTTTGCTGGTACTGTTGCACTCTATATGTTCATGTCAAAATAGACTCCTCAAAAAAACAATGCTTTTTCAAATAAATGTTCAAACTTTGTTTGTAATGTTTCTGTCACACAGTCGACCAACGGATGTCAACTTTGGGAAACAAGTTTCATTATTCAGGCTTTTCTTGAGGTAACATTAAAAATGTTGCTTGCATTTACTTGATAATCTTTGATTATATATATAAAAAAAAGCTTGTTTTTTTTTGTTGTTGTTGTTTACTTGGGGCGGCTGTGGCTGAGTGGTTAGAGCAGTCGTCCTCCAATGCAAGAGTTGGGGGTTTGAATCCACCAGCAGTCACATGCCGAAGTGTCCATGGGCAAGACACTGAACCTCTCATTGCCTCCGATGTGTCCCATCAGTGTATGAATGTGATAAAGCTCTGATTAGTCTCTTTAGAATGATTTGTTCAATTAGCTTTGTAGAGATATGGTAGAGTGCTGTTTGAATGGGTAAATGAGACACAGATTGTGTTGTAAAGCACTTTGAGTATCTTGATTAGATAGAAAGGCGCTATATAAGTACATTCCATTTACCATTTACTTGTTTTTACAGGCTGGAGCTCAGGATGACCCCAAACTATCTGACTGTCTTTGTAAGAGCCATCACTTTCTCACAATCACACAGGTACAGCAAACATGCTTCTTTTCAACAACTGATTTTGTTAACGAAGGTGAACAATTTTGCTTCTGCTAAATATCAAAACTGTCCAACATGAACATCCAGAAATTTAATGCAAATGGTTTCTGATGACAAAACACTTCTTCTACTCATGCAGATAGACGAGAACGCTCCTGATTACGAGAAATACTACAGGCATATGAACAAGGTACAACCAACATTACATCATAAACACTCTGTGACTTTTATTTTTAATAAATGTAATCCTAAATGAGAAAAAAAAACTGAGGTCACAAGTAAATATTAGATTCATTCAAATTCTTCTTCTTTCGGCTTTTCCCTCTTCAGGGGTCGCCACAGTGAGTCATTCTCCATCTCACTCTGTCCTCTGCGTCCTCTTTCCTTACTCCAACTACCTCCATGTCCTCTCTTAACTACATTCATATATCTACTCTTTGTTCTTTCTTTTTCTCTCTTTCCAGGCAGCTGCATTTCTAACATCCTTCTACCAATATGCCCACTGTCCCTCCTCTGGACATGTCAAAACTATTGTCCGTCTTTTGGACATGTCCAAACCATCTCAGTTTGGCCTCTCTAACTTTATCTCCCAGTTGTTCAACCTGTGCTGTACCTCTGATGAGCTCATTCCTAATCTTATCCAGCCTTGTCACTCCTAAGGAGAACCATGACATCTTCATTTCTGACACTTCTAGTTCTTTCTCCTGTCTTTTTCTCCATGACTCTGTCTCCAGACCATACAATATAGCTGGTCTCACCACTGTCTTGTAAACTTTTATTTTGACATTTGCTGACACCCTATTGTCACAAATCACCCCTGAAACTTTTCTCCATCCATTCCATCCTGCATGGACTCTTTTTCACCTCTTTACCACACTCCCTATTTACCTGGACAGTCGACCCTGAGTACTTGAAGTCCTGCACCTTTGTGACCTCTGCTCCTTGTAGCCTCACTGTTCCACCTGTCTCCTTTTCATTCAAACATGTACTCTGTCTTACTATGGCTGGCTTTCATTCCTCTTCTTTCAAGTGCATACCTCCTGCTCTACGTTCTCTTCCACCTGTTCCTTGCTCTCATCGCAAATCACAATGTCATCTGCAAACATCATAGTCTACGGGGATTCCTGCCTGGCCTCATCTGTTAATCTGTACATCACCAGAGCAAACAATAAGGGGCTCAGAGCCCATCCATGATGCAATCTCAAATCCACTTTGAAGCTATCTGACACTCCTACAGCACATCTTACCACTGTCCTGCTGTCCCCATGCATGTCCTGTACCAGTCCAACGTGTCCTGATGTCCTCATGCATGTTCTGTACCAGTCTAATATAATTCTCTGTGAATCCAGATCTCCTCATGCAATACCAGACCTCCCTTGGCACCCTGCCATATGCTTTTCATAAATCCACAAATACACAATAGAGTTCTTTCTGACCCTCTCTGTACTTCTCCATCAGCATTCTCAAAGCAAATATGGCCTCTGTGGTGCTCTTTGTTGGCATGTAACCATACTACTGCTCACAAATAGTCACCTCTCATCAAAATCTTGCTTCCTTAACTCTCTCCCAGATCTTCTCCCTCATCAACTTGATTTACCTGTAGTTGCTACAACTCTGTACATCATCCTTGTCCTTAAAAATGCTCTCCAGAACACTTCCCCTTTATTCCTCAGACATTTTCTCACCCTCAAATATACCATTGAATATTTGAGTTAAAAAAAAAAACCTCACTGCCATCTTTCCTAGACATTTCCAAACCTTTACTGGTATGTGATCAGGTCCTACTGCTTTCCCTTTCTTCATTCTTTTTAGAGCTTTACAAACTTGATCCTCGCTAGTCTTTCCCACTTCTTGTCCCACCGTTTCTATGACCTCGACTCTTCTTTCTCTTTCATTCTCTTAATTCGTTTTCTCAAAATACTCTTACCATCTTCCTGTCATGCTCTCCTCACTTGTTAGAACATTAATATTCCTATCATTCACAAGCCTAATCTGTTGCACATTCTTTCCAGCATAATCCCTCTGTCTTGCCAATCGGTACAAGTCCTTCTCGCCTTCTTTAGTGTCCAACCTCCCATGCAACTTATTATATGCCGTCTGCTTTGCCTTTGCTACCTCCCTCTTTGCTCTACATAGCATATCCTTATAATCCTGTCTCCTCTCTTCAGTTCTATGACTGTCATTTTTTGACTAACCTCTTTCTTTGAATAGCTGCACTTCACTATTCCACCACCAGGTTTCCTTATCTTTTCTCTGTGCAGTTGACATACCAAGTACCTTCTTACCCGTCTATAAATTTAGTGTTGCTGATGTAGCCCAGTCATTTGGAAGCCCTTTCTTACTACCCAGTAGAGCTGTCATTTCCAACCCAGGCCTGTGCCTGGCCCAGCCCATAGTGTGCTGGATGGTTGGGCTGTGTCGGTGTTGGGCTTTTGATTGCATCAGCAGACGTGCGCGACCGATTGACCAAGCTTAATTGGACTCAGTTACTGCATCAGTGGATGTGCACGGCCAAGCTCGGTTGGTTGAAAGAGGTTAAAAAAAGTTCAGATGGACCACTGCCAGCGACCCACCTGAAGCTTTACTGGACTCAGCTGCTGCATCAGCGGACGTGCGTGGCCGACGACCCAATTTGGATTATCAGCTGTGTGCATCCTCCGACCATTAAAAACTTGAATAAGTATAATATTATAATTATAATAATCCACTGACTCTTGTTAATAAACAAGAAATCCTATATCTTCCTTTCTTAGAAATACGTTTTTAAATCATGTCAAACTGGTTTGCTTACAAAAGCAGTAAAAGCTTAATTTAAAAAAAAAACTTTTTGTGGGGGGGTTCGGGCCTGTAATCACAGTTAATTGTTCGGTTTCAGGTCAGGCTCGGAAAAAAATTATACGGGTTCTGGCAGGGACAGGTCAGATTTTATAGGCCTGAATGCAACTCTAACACAAGGCATTTAACAGCTCCTCTATGAATTGCTCACAACATTCTTCCTTCCTCAGCCTCCACCATTTGACCTTCTTCTCTGATTTTACTTCTTTTCTCTTCTTCACAACAACATTCATTCTACACACAACCATTCTCTGCTGTCTGGCCATGCTCTCCCCTACAGACACAACCTTACAGTCCCCAATGTCCCTCAGGTTTCCTCTTCTACACAGAATGTAGTCTACCTGTGTACTCCTGCCTGCACTCTTATAGGTCACTCTATGTTCTTCCCTCTTTTGGAAATAAGTGTTAACTACAGGCTTTTCCATTCTCTTGGCAAACTCCACCTTTAAAATTGTCTCCTTCACCCCAGCAGACCAGATACATGCCTAAATTACTGCAGGTCAGTTCTGCTAAGTCAGTTGATCTTTCTCCCAATCCAAACTACCACTATTTGTGAAAGTGACTCCCAGCTACTTGAACTTCTCCACTTGGAGAAAAAACCCCACCAATGTCCCAAAAGGAGCAATCCACCTTTTTTCTGTTAAGAATGTTGGCCTCAGTACTAAAGAGGTTGACATCATTAGCTGCTTCACACACTCTGTGAACTGCCCCAGTGCATGCTTTAGGTCATGGTTAGAAGATAACAACAGAACCACATCATGTGCAAAAAGCAGAGACGAAAGCTGCAACCTCTTTCAGAACACCATCCAGAGACCCCAGGAAGGCCAGGTAACCAAACTGTTCTTAGGTGTATAAGCACAAACAGCAGTCAGAACATTACCTCATGCACCTTGAAGATGCAGAAAAATTACCATTTTCTTCACTGGGTATGGCTTCATCAAAACAGGGGCTTGTATCTTTACACTAATCAGACATCTCTCCTAAGAAAACCCCTGAGTAAGACTGAATCTAGAACCTCTCCAGGAGTTAGTTTTCGAAGTCCAAGCTGTGTGCGAAGGTGAGACCAACAATATAGGTATTGCTCAACCACACACAAAATGTGACTTATTACCCACCAGTGAAGTGACAGTACACATCCCTGGAACCAGTTTGTGTAGCTGGGAATCAGCATGCTCAGGGCCCCACCCTTGCCTGCCACCCAGCTTGCATAGCACCTGACTTTGACAGATCTTGGCTTCCTGATTAATTTTTAGGCTTGGCTTGCCCAAACTAAAGGAGCCAAGGCTCAACCACCAGGGACCAAGATAACAGGGTTGGAAGAATGAGCAAACTGTTGGGTCCCACTAAGGCAAATGGAAATGGGAAATGGACTGCACTTATATAGCACTTTTCTATCTTATGAAGATACTCAAAGTACTTTACACTATAATCTGTGCCCTCATTTACCCATTCATACAGCACTCTACTATTTCTGTACAAAGAATAATCAGTGCTTTATCACATTTATACACCAATGGGACACACATTGGAGGCTATGAAAGGTTCAGTGTCTTGCCCAGGGACACTTTGGCATGTGACTGGCATTCAGTGTCCTGTCCAGGGACACTTCGGCATGTGACTGCTGGTGGAATTGAACTCCCAACATTTTTATCAAAGGACGACTGCTCTAACCACTCACACACTGCCACCCAAGGCCAGAATACAACCAGCGATTTAGAGCAGACTGGAGTCCTTGAGTCTTATATCCTCACCTGTAGCAAGTCAGCTCTCTGCTGCAGTAAATGGCCCCTGAGACAGTTGAAGCTAAAGCTGCTGATGCCAGTCATAGAGACAGTGCAAATGACACGAGGTATTGTAAAGAGGTCAATATCTGAATCCAGATGACAATCACATATTTAATGGGATTTTACAAACCCTGGTGTACATTACAACAATCTGTCCTTGGTGTGGTTTGTCTTGGACATACAGAACCTTCACAATGTGTATGACTATCCTCATGTACCAGTTAGTTCCAGGATCAGACCACTGTGAAATTTGTACACCCCTCGTACCAGGGAGGTGATATGACCACACAACCTCATTCAAACCAACAATGTGACTTCTATCAAACTCTATCAAAATCTGGTAACAATGTGTAAAATATCTGTAAAGCATCCATGTCTGATGACCTTCTCTCACTGTTTTGACTGACTGTCCGAGGCTTTGGCAACTACTTGTCTGCATTTATAGCTTATGAATTTCATGTTGTGTGCATTAGGGAGGCTTTCCTTTTACAAATCGTCACTTTAACTGGATTGTGTCAGACTGCACAGCAGAAGGTCTGAAGTCACTGATGCAGCTGGAGAAGCTCTGTCCCTTCATCAGACAGCGTGTCAGCTCTGAACGTCTGTTTGATGCTGTCAATGTGGTAAGTTAAAGAAAATATATTGATATCACCTGTGCAGATTCCAGTGGAACTCAGAAAGAAATCATTGGTCATTCATTACTGTAAACCTTTTGAAATCAATCTGATCCAAAATGGTTGCCATGGCTAATTGATCATCCATCCATCCGTCCATCCATCCATCCATCCATCCATTCATCCATCCATGATCTTCTGCGTGTTCCGAAGTTGGGTCATGGGCGGCAGTAGCTTGAGCAGAGAGGCTCAGACATCTCTTTCCATAGCCATCTCATCTAGCTCTTTTGGGAGGACTCCAAGGTATACCCAAGTCAACCAAGAGACATAGTCTCTCCAACGTGTCCTGGGTCTTCCCAGTCAAGGGAAGTTAAAAATCTTTTCATGGACTTTACAAGTCCCTGATTGAGTCCATTTTAACTTTACCATACCATACCATACCAACTTTATTTATAGAGCACTTTATGCACCCAACAGGACCAAAGTGCTTTACACAATTATATAATACAATACAATGATAAAATGGAAGGGTAAAATTTAAAACAGGAATAGAATAATAAAATAAAATACAAACACAATAAAACAAGGTAAAACATCTCAGATTGTGCTAAAAGGCCAAAGAAAAAAGATGAGTTTTAAGAAGGGACTTAAAAACCTCAATTGAAGAGGCCTGTCTTATGTTCAATGGAAGGTCATTCCAGAGCCTGGGAGCTATCACAGAAAAAGCTCGGTCCCCTCTAAGCTTACGCTTTGTCTTCGGGACCTTCAGAAACAACTGGTCAGCTGACCTGAGTGAACGAGAGGGTGTGTAAGAATGTAGCAGCTCAGACAGGTATGGAGGGGCATGGCCATTTAAAGCTTTAAAAACAAATAAAAGTATTTTAAAATGAATCCGGTAATGCACCGGCAACCAATGTAAAGAGGCCAAAACAGGAGAAATACTGTCAAATTTCCGTGTACCTGTTAAAAGTCGTGCAGCTGCATTCTGAACCCTCTGAAGCTGGGAAATACATGAATCACTAATACCTATGTAAAGTGCATTGCAGTAATCTAGCCGTGTGGTCACAAATGCATGGATTGCTGTTTCAAAATGCTGTCTGGGAAGAATTGGTTTTACTTTAGCCAGCTGCCTCAAATGAAAAAAGCCTGACTTTACAACTGTTTTAATTTGAGACTCCATCCTAAGACCAGCATCCATCTTGACCCCTAAATTTGTAACAACTGGCCTGACATACTGAGCCAAAGAGCAATCAACAGGCAGAGAGTCTTCATTCGAGCTGCCAAAAATCACTACCTCTGTCTTGTCTTCATTTAATTTCAAGAAATTTTGGGCCATCCATGCCTTCAAATCCTCCAAACATAGAAACAGAGACCGAAGAGAAGTGGAATCTGCTTTCTTTAAAGGTAAATAAATCTGTGTGTCATCAGCATAACAATGAAAAGCAATCCCGTATTTCCTAAAAACAGAGCCAAGAGGAAGGAGATACAGTAAGAACAAAAGAGGACCCAAGACTGAGCCCTGCGGAACACCACATGACAGAGGAGCAGAGGATGATCTATTGCCATCAAGACAGACACAAAAAGTGCGTTTTGTCAAATAAGACTTAAACCAGTCTAGAGCTGTTTGACCAAGGCCCACATATTGTTCCAGACGAGCAATTAAAATCCTGTGATCAACTGTGTCAAAAGCAGCTGATAAATCCAACAACACCAAAACAACACAGTCACCAGAATCAGTTGCCCAAAATATATCGTTAAAAACTTTTAAGAGAGCTGACTCTGTGCTATGAAGTGATCTAAAACCAGATTGGAAAATCTCTAAAATATTATGTTCAATGAGATAGGACATTAGTTGCTTATAAACTACCTTCTCAAGAATTTTCGAGATGAAAGGCAATTTTGAAATTGGTCTGTAGTTCGCTAGGACAGCAGGATCCAAATTTGATTTCTTAATTAGAGGCTGGACAACTGCATGTTTCAGATTTTCAGGAACAACACCTGAGGACAAGCTACTATTAACAAGAGCAAGGATCGACAGACCTATAGTATGAAAAACCTCATTGAACAGTCGAGGTGGAATAGCATCATCTGGAGAACCAGTTGGCTTCAAGTGACTAACGACCTCCTGCAGGGATTGCAAAGTCACACATTCAAAGCTATTAAAAACAGCAGGGCAAGACACAGTATCAATAGGGTCATACACAATGGGTATGATCTGTGCCCTAATAGAAGTGACTTTCTCAAGAAAAAAGTTTAAAAAGCTTTCACAAACAGCAGGGGAAGTCTCCACAAAAGCACCATGTGGGGCATTTAGAACAGAGTTAATAGTTTTAAATAAAATAGCTGGATTGCAACTGTTTGATACAATTATATTTGTCAACTTTTAATATTTCATTCTGGTTCATCCTCATTAATGTAAAACAGAAAGCTAAATTACACAGAATAATTAAACACTCAAGTGCAATAACTGGCTCACCTCAGTGCCCCATCAGATTTTTACAGCCGCTCAGTCATCAAGAATGCCACCGCGATCCCCAAGGACCCCTCACAGCCACAACACAACTGCTTCCAGATGATTCCATCAAACAGGCGTTACTGAGTCCCACTGGCCAGAAACAATATTTATAAGAAATCATTTGAACCATCTGCAATAATGTTCTTCAATGACCTTTGCCTACACAAAAACGGTTACGCCACACATGAAATTTTAACAAATCATGAAAGTTTATTTTTATTTTGGTATTCAAAGTGGCGAGCTAGTTTTCTTTAACATTGGATGGGACTTGCAAACACAAAGAATAGCAGTAGCGGTTAGCTGTGGCACATCTGGTGCAGACTAGAGAATTACAACATTGCTGCATAAAAAACAAATAAATGCTAAATTGACAGTGTGAAGGTTTGTAAAATTAATGTTTGCATGAATTGCTATTTGAGATTAGCTGTGTTCTTGGTCCCATTTGGCTCGGCAGTTATCTCGTCAAACTGGTCGGAGTTTAAGTCTGGTTGGCCCATTAACATAGCAACACATTCCTACAGCTGTTCACTTGTGATCTTTGCTACAAAATTAAAAACAGCAGCACAAACACAAGGACTAATCTCAGTTCCATTTCAGTTCAGTCACATGTCTGTTGTTGTTCTTCAGATGCTGAGCATGAGAAACAAAGATGGCGGATTCGCCACACATGAAATTACAAGAGGAGGAGAATTCCTGGAATGGCTCAACCCTTGTGAGATATTTGGTAAGTCTCTTGAAACCTTTCAAACTTTATTTTAAACCCTTCAGAATGAAGTTTAGTCAGTCTAAACATAGTTATATAAGAAACCAGAGTGTGCACTGCCTATCCCGCCCATTGTTTACATTTGTGACATCATGGAGAAGCTAAGATGGCGTCCAAAACAAGCAACTGCTCACAGCCAAGTAATTTTTTTAATAAACAGCAAGCCCAACTGGATCTGTGCCACAAATTATTTTTGTATATTTTTACAACAACAGTACAATTCATAGTTAATGTTAATTTCATACAAGAAACCAGATAAACCAGAGAATAAAATCAAGGTCAAGGTTTCTTTACTGTCATTCTCATCACATGCGGTACATGTGATGAAACGGAATTGTGTACACAGGGTTCCAGTTACATCCAACAAAATTATAAATTGTAAAGGAAAACCAGTAATAAGATCTAAAATATGAACTAAGAAATATGCTAAACCAAGAATGTGCCAAGCACTGATAGTACAAAAACCAAACACCGAACAACAGCAGCACGAACATGAGACTATGTGAGCAGATGAGTACGAACAAACACAGCAGCATGAAATAAATCAGCAGCATGAAATAAATCAGCAGCATGGTAGTCAGCAGCACATATCAACAATCAAGTGGCATTACAAGATCTCATCCTTGGCTAACATTTCACCTCATATCTACCAAAACTTTGGCTCCATATGTCTACTCATTCCTTTTAAAACATATATTAGAAGGGGGGGGGGGGGGCTCCTTTACCTTCAACATTCAGGTCATTCTTAGAGTTATTTCTACGCAGACACGATGGTGGACTGCTTGTTTTCCTTCACAATTCATCTTCAATGTCCATCTGCTAACACCTTTGATTCATGTTTTCATCACGGGAGAAGACACAGAAATGGTGCGGATACATGCAGGGGTCACCCCCCCCTTCATGAATTGGACCGAACCATTATTTGTCTTCCATCCCTTAAGCTGTTTGTTTGTTTGTATGAATCAACTGGGACAATGGAGTTGATTCTGCCTCTACAGCATACTTACTGCTAGACTCTGAATAGAAATGGTTGGATCACATTCACATTGAGATAAATAAGATCAAATTTGCCGACTTGTGAAAGGAGACACATTTTCCCTTTTCTCTTCTGTTGCTACATCTGTAGCACACTTTTCATTCAACCTATATTTATACTGGCTAGCTACATTGAGCCACGGGGACTCATTCCTCATTTACAAAAGGGACCTGTAACACACACACACACACACACACACACACATACAGCTTTCTGGCATTTTTACACACATTCTATAGTTCAGGGGTTCACAAAATCTTTGGTTCAGGGAACCCCTCATAACCCTCATGTTTATTTATTAATTGTATTCAATTTGTCTCTTTAATACAATGGAAATATTTGTGTAGCATAAATACTTGAGACCTGTTCTTTAATAGTGTTAATACAATTTTTATCATTTTAAACATGGGGTATTTTTCATTCAAGATACACTCAATTAACAAAATTTTTAATTTCAACTTCCAAAAATTACAGTTTTGAGAAAATTAACAGCACCAAAAAACACTTTAAAAAATGTTACCTATTCACATAATGAACATAAATATATTGCCACTTCTTTAAATTATTACAGAAAAGTCGTGATTTCCTGAAAGGATGTGATTTCCTGCATTTTGGTATATTGAATGGTTTGTTAAACATCTACATGCTTGTAAAATAATAATAAATTTATTTATTTATTTATTTTGGGGGGGACCCCCAAGCACCGGCTTGTAGACCCCTGGGGTTCCGGGGACCCCAGTTTGAGAACCACTGCTATAGCTTATATGCATTCTAATATCATAATATTATATTAAGAGCATTTTATTATGTTTTTTACATTTTTATTTTCTTAGTCAACCCAATGCGGGTGCAGACGTTTGACAGTTTTTATAATGGTTCCTGTTGCCTCAGTGCATCACAAGTTCACGTGATCTGTGCCAACTGTAGTTGTTTTGTATTACTATGCTCCTAAATCTTTTTAGTAACCTGAAATTAAATTCAAATCTTGCTCATTTCTGTGCAGAAAAGCTCACTTTAAATTCAACATAAAACCAAAGAAATCAGTCAAACAAACGTGATTCTTTGCTCATGATATTCACTTTTACCCTGTTAATGTACTGCAGATAATGACTTCTGGTCAAATCCTTGTGTGAAAATAGTACATTTGTTTATTACTAGCACTGTTTTCTGTCTTCAACAGATAACGTCATGATAGACCATACATTCGTGGAGTGTACCTCATCAGTGATGCAGGCTTTGAAGCTCTTCCAGAAGGCCTATCCTGATCACCGCACCCAAGAAATAGGGTATACAACGAGAACAGGACAGTGAAAAAGTCTTCATTCAGATTCATCGCTCATTTCTTTATATTTTCTTTCCAAACACCCAGACTGACTTGTAATATTTTAAAATGGAATTAAGATTTACTCTGGCTTTTGGCTAGGGTTGCTATACATTTATCACCATTAAGCACCTACTTCTTTAGTTTGTCCTTGTTCCACAACATGCGATGCAGTGCTTGTCAATCCACTTTAAGTTCAAGCCAGTACAGCTTCATTTCTTTGTTTTTTGCCTTTTATGCACAAAGGATGCACAAGGTTAGCAGAAAGAGGCTTTGAACCCTGTTTGGATTTGTGACTTTTAGGCTGTTTCTTACAAGCCTGTCAAAATGATACAATTTGTTTCAGTCTCTGTGAAAATACCAAAGTTAACATGATGTAAGCAGTTTCACAAACAAAAAACATTTCTTCGAAAATGGTCATGTCCATGAACATGTCAAGAGTTTTAAAAACGAGCAAAAAAAATTTAAATTAAAAGAATATTGGTCGTTTTTAATAAATATAAGAAAGTTTGGTTGTTTGTAAGAAAGATAAATAATTGTGAGTTGGATAAAGAAGCAGACAGCATACTTGCTGCAAGTTCAAATGCTGACACAAAAATGCTAGATGAATGTGGCCTAGCTTTCTATGAACATTAAAAAAAATTATCTGCCCAACATTTTTTTATTTACATATAATATTTCTGAGTTTTACTTGCAGATTTAAAAAAAAAATCCATTTCTTCTTCAGATCCACTCTGAGAGAAGGTCTGGAGTTCTGCAGGAGGGTGCAGAGACCTGATGGATCCTGGGAAGGGTGAGCCTGGACTTGGTGTTTTACCACCTGATAGCTAACTAGCAGGTCTCACTCCGTCTGGTTCTGCTCGTCCTCAGGTCCTGGGGAGTGTGTTTCACGTATGGAACCTGGTTTGGCCTCGAAGCCTTCGCCTGCATGGATCACACTTATGAGAACGAGTAAGACGACCAAAGAACGTGTTCAAGAACACTTGATTCTCCTGAATAAATCAGGACTTTACCTGCAGAGCAGACTGAGTCTGAATCTTCCTCTGTAACCAGGGAGGTGCCTAACGAGGTGCAGAAGGCTTGTCGGTTCCTGTTGGACCGGCAGATGTCAGACGGAGGCTGGGGGGAGGACTTTGAGTCGTGTGAGCTGCGGCGCTACGTCCAGAGCAGCACTGCTCAGATCCACAACACCTGCTGGGCTTTGCTAGGACTCATGGCTGTCAGGTGAAGCTTTTACCGACACGTACAAGGAGTGTTTTGATTAAGATTCTTAATGATTATGAAACAAATTTATTAAAACTGAAATATCTTTTGTTTATAAACAGACATCCTGACCAGCTGGCCATTGAGAGAGGAGTTCAGTTTCTGATCGAAAAGCAGCTGCTCAATGGAGACTGGCCAAAGGTGAGTTAGCAGCTTACATGTCCTTTCTCTGATTGAATTTGTCTTAATTGAAGATAAGTGAATAAAAAACAAAGTCCAAAAAGTTAAAAGTGTAAATACCTATGGGACAAGACAGAGTTAAAATATTAAGGAAAATCTGGCTGCTTGAAAGGAAAATATAAAGAAATAAAGAATGACTAGATATCCCTATGAAGTGTTGTAATTTATGGATATTTTTCTGACTTTCTAGGGATACAGTGAAGGTTTATTCTGCAAGACTTGTGTCCTCACCTACAGTACGTACAAAAACGCCTTTCCGATCTGGACCCTCGGACGCTTCTTGAGGCTCTACCCAAGCAGTCCATTGGCTGGAATACTGAAGCCATGACAAGTGGATTAGATCTGCCGCCTCTCAGATTTTACATGACCTGTGTAGCGTAGGCCTGTCTCAATTAACAATAAATCAATTAATTGCATGATGAATGAAAATTATCAGCCTCATTTTCATTTTCCGGCTTTATCGTTTCTTCGTGTCTCTCTCTTTCTACTGATGACACGGCTCAACTCCGGTGCTCTTCACTGACCCCTCCCTTTCTCTTTTCTCTTTAAAATGCATTCTATCCGTCCAAAATCGCGTTTTTTTTTTTGGATCGTTAAAAGCAGCTAAGCTACAAGCTATGCTACAAGCTAAGCTAACAAGCCGACCTCGGGAATAAACCTCCGTCTTGTCGAGCTCCAAAATTCATGGTTGAAAACCCGTGCCTTCGTGTAAAAAGTTGTTTTTCTCTGCAAAAAGAAGCTGAGAACGTGTTTACTGGTTTTTTTATCAAAAGCTTTGTGTGAAAAATGCTATGCTAAAGAGCTCAAATCACCGAGCGTCCGCCATGTCACCATGTCAGCCCATATCATGTCAAGGACTCCCTCCCATTTTTTAAGAGGGACATGCTGCTCAACTATCCATCCTTTGGTTCAAACGGTCTTATATTGCCATCAGGTGGTCAAAAAAGGTACTACACTCCAAACAAACCAACATTTTTTTCTAAAATTTGACAATTATTGTTAAATTTCAAACAATAATATCGTTTATCGCAATATTTTCTGAGACAGCCAAATTTGTTATCGTGACAGGCCTAGTGTAGCATCCAACCAACGTCCCTCAAAAAGACAAAGCGTCCTCAAGAGACTGTGTCTCTTACCCCTCCCCCTGTGCTAATCAGGACAAGTACTGGCATTCTGTTCTGAAACAAGAACTGTCTTTTCACCCCTCTCTGTGTGCTAATCTACAAATCTGGGAGTCAGCATACCCTGACCGCCCGTAAAACACTGACTGCATGGTAATTAATGCTCTGTGCTTATTATCCTCTTCTTGGATCAGACAAAGTGACTCTTCAAAATTTATAACATTTGTGCTAATCAACTGTCTTTCCTGGAAACACAGCTATTTAGTCGCTGACAAGAAGTCAGTAGTTGAAGTAAAACATCTTCTTTCTAATGAGAAAACAACTAAGTGCCAGCTTAGTTATTTTAGACATTTATAATTAGTTTATGAATCCAAGATAAAGTTTACCCAAGTTCTAAACTTTAGTCCAAATTGAATACTTCTCAAAGTCTTCAGACTTTTTACATCATTCACTTTCTGAAATAATACCATTGGTTATTCATTCATATTTCATATTTGCCATAATTTCACACTGTTGTTTATTGCTCACAAGCTGAAAATAAACTTTACAAAATTGCATATGTAAATGACCAGATTCTTGTGTCTTTGTTTGAGCGAGTGGAACACAATATTGTTAAAGAACGCACATATTTCTTTTGATTGAGGTCGGTCAACATTTATTACATAACTTTGAATGGTTAGTGTAAACACCTGTACAAGGTGCCCAGACCCCAAGCATTTACTCCTACACCTGCAGAGTTTCTGATTTAAAGGATTTACAACTCCAATTCCAAAAACATTCAGATGTGTAAAATTTTAATAAAAATAAGGTGGAACTATTTGTACTAGATCTCTACAAAGCTAGAATACAGCTCTATAAAGCTAGTTACAAAAGGTAGTATTTGTACTACCTTACAAACCCAAAATTTATTTACATTGGTAAAAATTAAACACATTAAAAGGTCGAAAGTAATTTTTTTTTTTCTTTGTGACAAATTTAAGAATATTTTAAACTTTATGGCAGCAACGCATCTCAATAAAGTTGAGCCAATGGCAACAAAAGGCTCTAAAACTGATACAAGTAGGAAACAGCTGGAGGAGAATTTGTAAATAATTAGGTTTACTGGCAACAGGTCAATTAGGTCGTTTTCACACCAGATAGTCCGGTAGACTCTGTTCAGTTCGGGACCAATATTCATGAGCGTTTGTTTACATTTGAGCTGGTGCGTTTGCATTCACACTGCACTGTGCAGTCGAGTCAACCTGTTGAAACAACCTGTTCCCCCGCTCGCCTGTGGGGGCGCTGCACCAAGAACTACTGAAAGAAACATAAAAACCTCTGAAGACACGTCTTCTTCTTTTGTAAATTAAAAAAAAATAATAACAGAATGGCATCAAATTTTAGCAGTTTTAGGAGTTATATTTTGTCATTTTTCAAAAATGGACTCAGCATGGGCAGAAGATGAGACAGAAGACCATGGAGAATATTGTTTTTCACACAAGGCAGCTGACGGCTCCATATAAGGTCAGAGAAATGCGTGTTTGTTTGTCCTGCGGAGCGGGGCCCGGTCTGTTTACGTTCCCACTGCACTCGAACTGCGCTGGAGTTCAGCTGCCTTGTGTGAAAAACAATATTCTCCATGGTCTTCTGTCTCATCTTCTGCTCATGCTGAGTCCATTTTTGAAAAATGACAAAATATAACTCCTAAAACTGCTAAAACTTGATGCCACTTCGTTTTTATTTTTATTTACAGAAGAAGAAGAAGACGTGTCTTCAGAGGTTTTTGTGTCGTTTCTTTCAGTAGTTCTTGGTGCAGCGCCCCTACAGGCGAGCGGGGGAACAGGTTGGTTCAACAGGTTGACTCGACTGCACAGTGCAGTGTGAATGCAAACGCACCAGCTCAAATGTAAACAAAAGCTCATGAATATTGGTCCCGAACTGAGTCTACCGGACTATCTGGTGTGAAAACGACCTAAAGCGGACTAAACAGGGCTGGTGTGAATGCACCCTGAGAGCTGTGTATGAAAAGAGCATTATATATAGAGGCTGAATCTTCCAGAAGTAAAGATGGGCAAAGGTTCATCAGTCTGAATATGCTGAGTCTAGAAATAGTGGAACATTTTCAGAATAATGTTACCCTAAGGAATTTCCCCATCATGTACAGATAATTGTCTGTAAACACAGTTTATTGGTCCATCCACAAATGCTGCTTAAAGCTCTATCAGGCAAAGCAGAAGCCACATGTGAACATCATCCAGAACTACTGCCGTCTTCTCTGAACCAAAGCTCATTTCATATGGACTGAGGTGAAGTGGAAAACTGTTCTGTGGTCAGACAGATCCAAATCTGAAATTTATTTTAGAAACCACAAAGGCAGCACCCTCCATTTGAAAGTGGAGTTGGACCATTGGGCGGCTGTGGCTGAGTGGTTAGAGCAGTCATCCTCCAATGCAAGAGTTGGGGGTTCGAATCCACCAGCAGCCACATGCAGAAGTGTCCCTGGGCAAGACACTGAACCTCTCATTGCCTCTGATGTGTGTCCCATTGGTGTGTGAATGTGAAAAAGCACTGATTAGTCTCTTTAGAATGATTTGTTCAATTAGCTTTGTAGAGATATGGTAGAGTGCTGTATGAATGGGTAAATGAGGCACAGATTGTGTTGTAAAGAGCTTTGAGTATCTGGATAAGATAGAAAAGCACTATATAAGTGCAGTCCATTTACCATTTACCATCCAGCCTATAATCCTTGTACAATTCAAAATAATGCCTTTCTGATGGTATAGGGGTGCATATTAGTTCCTCTGGCATGGGTAATTTACACATCTGGAAAGGATCCATAAGTAAAGATAACTATGTGCATGTTTTAACACAGCAAACTCCCATCCCACCAGTGAGGTGACATTCCACGTCCCCATAGCTAGTCTATGCCGCCCGGCTGTTCATGGCCAGGAAACCTCCCTCACCTGCCACCCAGCATGCATTGCACCTGACCTTGATGGTCCTCACAGCTGGTGGGCCCATGTGGAGGTGGCATCCTGTCTTTCTTTTGGGCTTTGCCAGGTCGAACCCCAGAAGCCAAGACTTGACCAGCAGGCACTTGATGGTGAGTTCCCCACCCAGACCTGGCTCCAGGGAGGTTCCCCACTTTTCCCTCTGCGGGTGAAGTTTCCTGATAAAACTTTTTAATTTGCCAAGAGTTTCTGAGCTTCTTTCATAATATCTCAAACTACAACCCCAAATCTCAAATGAGTTGAAAAGGATGTTCTGTGGATGCATTCTCATCTACCTGCCAGCTGTGCTCGAGTGCCTGACCACTGAGATCCTGGAACTAGCAGGAAACACGTCTCATGACAGCGGAAGGACAGGATTGTCCCTCTGCACCTACAGTTGGCTGTCCGCAGTGACGAGGAGCTCTGCAGACTGCTGGGAGGAGTGGCCATCACTCTGGGAGGAGTTCTGCCCGGCATTCGGGCGATCCTACAACCCGGAGGACCAAGAGGCCAGCCGAGTCTGGGTGGACAGATCAGACGGCATCTGCAGCCACTTTCTTAGGATCCACTGTGGGATGGACCTTTACAAGAGATCCTTCCTGCCTACAGCCATCAGTATCTATAGCATAATTTAATGAAATGAGGATAACAAGTTACTACAACAAATAATTTCCCTCTGGGATTAATAAAGTATATTTGAATTTGAATAAGGGTTTACGTGATGTGCAAATTATTGCCTTTTTTTTTTATTTACATTCGTTTTTATCCCAACTTTATCAGTTATAGATCAAATACATCAGCTTTATTTCCTGAGTTAAATCCATCAGATTTTTATGTGTTTCTCTAAAATACTAAATAATAATAACTCTCCAGCATGTCACCTGCCAAAAGGCAAACATAATTATACTGTATTTAATGTTCTGCTTTATAGTCTGAAATTAATAACATCATTAAAGTGTAAATCAGAATATCAATATAGTCATAATTTGACAAACAAAAATTGTATCTGTTTTTCTTTTTTATCTGAATATTCATCTGAATATATGTATTTTTTTTCTATTATATAATAAAATGCAACAACAACAAAAGATTTGTGAAAGGTTTTTACTGAGGAGTCTGTTGTCTCAGCAGATCTTCATGTTATCTGGGTTCTAAACTCCAAAACACTTAAAGATTTTCTTTGTGGATCGTTACAATCTCCTTGTTTATCGTTTTGTCCTGTGTTTATCAGAAACTTCTGATTGGACGGCCTCACCAAAGGCCCTCCAATTGTTCCTTGGAGCAGATTGTTGTTGAACAGCTGCTCTCTGTTTGGGGACCTTTCAGGGAGAATTGCAAGGGCCTGTGGGAAATGTAGTTTTATTTGTGTTGAACAAAGTTCCCAGCAGCCAAGTCAGGACTCTATATAAAGAACAGAAGCTGAGATGGACAAAGGAGGTAGAACTTCATTTGGAAGAACTCAACTCTGAATTTATCACACACATCAATGACTAAAGAAACGTAAGTGTGTTCTCTTTTGTTTTATAATTTAATCTTCAATAGCTTTAAAAATGAATAATAAAACAAATTAAAGCAACTCTAAATCACTTTTATTATATTGTGAAAATAAATAAATAAAATTGCATTTAACAAATTATAAAGATGCTTTTCAAACAAGTTTTTCTAGAAAATTAAGAGTTTTTATCATATTTAACGCAAATATATTTTAACAGGTGTTGGAAATGACCAGATTTTAAGGAATTGTAAAGAGAGAATTAAGAGAGAATTAATTTCTAATTAATTAATTAATTACATTTCCTTAAAATCTGGTCATTTCCAACACCTGTTAAAATATATTTGCATTAAATATGATACAAACTCTTAATTTTCTAGAAAAACTTGTTTGAAAAGCATCTTTATAGTTAATGAAAAAAAATTAAAAGAGAACAAAAAAAACTTGCCTCATAAAAAAAAGACTTATGTAAGCTTGTTAAAGAAATAAAGAGTTTTGGTATTTGGAGGACTTTTAAGTCATAATTAAAACCGTTTCAATAGTTATGTGCCACAAAGTTTTAAAATTGCTGTAATTAAACCTTCACTTAAGAAACCTGATCTTGATTCAAGAATTTTGGCTGATCGTAGATTCATTCTCTTGTTCATTAAAAAAATTATGAGTATTTACAAATGTGTATTGCAACTGTTGCAAATCAATTGATCCCAATATTTCGGTACAGAGACTTGAACATGATATTGAGATTTCAGGAATGGCTCCCAACAGGCACGTCATCGTTATGCTGATAATACTTAGTGATTCTCATCTATGAAAGCTGATAAGTTCAGTTACTTAGATTACAAGCTTGTTTAAGAGACTTAAAATCTTCATTCAATCTTCATTTTCTCTTGTTAAACTCAGACAAGTCAGTGGTTGTGGTTATTGGACCTGAGCATCTTATGAACAAAACTTTCTAACCTTTTACTTCCTCTGGATGACATTAATGTGGCCTCCAGTCCTAATGTACGGTATGTTTTTTTAATCAGGACTTAAAATTTACCCAACTTCCAGTTTCTGTCTGTGAGGCTGACTCTGTCTACTCTTAAAGCCAGGCTGAAGTCATTTCTTTTTGATAAATTCTATAGTTGGGGTTGGCTTTGATTTAATTCATACCGTGTTTTCTTTGTCTGTCTCCCTATAGAAACTAAATTGCCACTCTGTGTTTGTGTCTATTTCCTGTTCTCTCTCTCTTCCTGTTAAAAGGGAGTTTTTCTGTTCCACCACCGCCAATGGGCTGCTCAGGATTGGGGGAATGCCACAGAGTGGATATTTGAAGCAAACAGCTTGCTTCCTTAGATAAACTTCACTAATTGGCATTTTGTATAGTGCTTTTTTATTATTTGGGCTATACAAATAAACTGAATTGAGTTTAATTGAAATAACTAATGTAGTATAAAGATACCCCATTTTTATGACCCATGCCCACACTCATCTTTCCAGCTGTCATTTTGCTGAGCAAAAATAAGTTTTGTGACCTAGAGATTGGTTTTCTGATGACAAAAAGGATTCAAAGACACAGAGGTAAAAAAGGTGAGTGCTCTTTATTCACAGGTGATAGAACAAAGTAGTGGGTCATCAATCTGTGGAGGATGGAATAGGATGAATCTCGAACAACAATTAATTTTAGAAAAATGCTTGGACAGAAAAGCTGGCTTTTACAGTGAATGTGAATCTCTTAGGTAAAGGCGGAGAGGATTCCAGACGCAGGTGAGAGAACCAGTGGAGTGTGTCAGCCGTTTTACAGGCAGAGTGGATGGTTGGAGAGTGGCAGGTGGGACCAGAAATTCCAGGATCACATGTAAGAACTCAAAAGCCAAATGAACCAAATGCTCCAATGATGGCTTCTGAAGAGAAAGTTACTACAGTAGTAGAGGAGCTCATCGACTGCAGCTGTGTAGGAGCTGCTCTACCTGTCACTCATGAGAGTGTGAGAGATCGTTTTTTTTTATATACATCTCTCCTTGGGTTTTCTTCCCTTTTTCTTATCTAAGCAATGGGGCAGCGGATCTTAGAAGCTGCAGCCCCCTGTACACTTCTGTCCATCTTTAGGATGGCTGTACGGAAAGTACTTTTGTTGTACTTCACTGTGCAAGGATAATAAAAGCATTCCAATTCTGATATTCCTGTAGGATGCTTGCCTATTTTATATAAAGTGTAATTGAGACCCGAGTGTCCCATTCTGAATCGAGTGATGACATTTTCTACTTTCCTATTCCATCTTTTCCTTCCCAACCAAACATGTTTTTGTATGCTGTATAAAGGTCTTCTGGCTTCCTGTAAATCCCAAAGCTCTTGCCATACTGTTTACAAATATTTCCTGATGATTCGTTTAATTTCAGATTTGCTAAGAGGGACTTTTATTTCTATAGACTTTCTATTGATTACTTGTTTAACCAGCATGTCTCATTTCATTTCTCCCCACATTGAAGAAATTGTATTTTTGTGCCTTTAGTTTCTGTTCAATACATTGTAAGAAAAAATTTCATTGATGATATCTTTCCAGATGGATTTGCCTGTTGCAATACTCTTGAGTGTTGAAATATCAGATGTGATAATGTTTCTTATTTCATTCCCCTCTAGCTTTTGCAGAGCCAACAATATTGTTAATAATTCTGTTGAGTAAACCAGCAACGGCTTCTGAAGAGAAGGTTGCTTAAGTAGTAGAGAGGAGCTCATCAGCTCATCTGCTGCAGGATCTGCTCCACCTGTCACTCAGGAGCTGTTTGGAATATGGATAATGCCACAAACGAATCGCAAAACACCAGAATCCTCACACCAGCAACTGTTTGGTGTAAAACACCATTCCGGTGTGACTGAATCCCTGGTATTGTTCAGAATTTGTTGTTTTTCTGAGGCTCCAAACACTCAGAATATATAATTAGGAAGAACAACGTGTAGTGACTTTTTTTTAAGACTCATTAAACAAAAAGCATGAATTATGCAGATTAAATATGTTTTCAGTTATAAAAATTATTTTAAATTGTGCTGAAAATTAAATGTTGATAATTTGAATATTCTTTATCTAATCTAAAAATGTGTCAAAAGGTTTAAAATATTTTATCACTCATTGTGATTCCAGCAGACGGTCTTGTGAGGCAAATTACAAAACCTAACCTCTTTTGAAGACAAAACTATAAGCTCTGTTTGTGCAGATGCTCAAGCTTCTGACCTTGTCAGAAATTAGGAGTTGACAGGTCATTTTTGGTTTTAGTTGTTCACTAAGTTGGTCTTCAATGCCATTGTCTCCCCTCAACATATATTGTTTTTACCTTAATTTAAAGCATACATTTTGGCATCAGTAAGGACAATAAGAAGTATAAAGAACATGCAACTAAGACCAAATTAGAAATGTTTGTGTTATCTTTCTCTAGAAAGTCTGTGCGGGGGCAAGGTGGACCCTATAAAACAGAACCGGTCACAGACCTGAGTCACTGGAGGTTGATCTCTGTGGAAGACCGACACAGCTGGGAATATGTGGAGGACCTCGACAGAGAGCAGACCATGCTGGAAGCTTATTCTCTGGGATTGGACACTGTATGTTTCAATTATTTTTCTGTTTATTAAAAAAAAAATAATAACATTTGCTTTATGAAAGGTATGAAACTTAAATTTTTGGTACATTTGAGGTCAGAATAAATATGGAAAACATTTAGGTTTTAAGTGTCCATTTCCACATTTCATCTTCTAAGGTAAAAACTTCTTAATATCCATTTTTCAAACATTCAGTGCGTTTTCTATGTGCTGTTTCAGAAAAACAGGACTAAGATCACAAAAATTATGCCAAATTGAAACTACGTTGGGCAGCACGGTGGCGCAACTGGTAGAGCTGCTGCCTCTCAGCGAGCAGGTCCCCGGTTCAAATCCCAGTCCGGGTGACCTTCTGGGTGGAGTTTGCCGATTCTCTCCGTGCATGTGTGGGTTTTCTTCGGGTACTCCGGTTTCCTCCCACAGACCAAAAACATGAATTTTGTATGGAGGCTGATTGGTAACTCTAAATTGTCCCTAGGTGTGAGTGAGAGAGTGAATGGTTGTTTGTCTCGTTTGTCTCCATGTGGCCCTGCAATGGACTTGTGACCTGTCCAGGGTGTACCCCGCCCCTCACACAGTGATTGCTGGACATGGGCACCGGCGAGCCCCGTGACCCAAAATGGCTGAAGCGAGCAAAAGATAATAGATGGATGGATGAATCTACGTTTCCTGCTCGAGATAACCCTCCTACTGAAAGGTAATCTGGATCTCTCCACAGAGCAAGTTTGTTCCTGACTCCCCGGCTGCACAAACAGCTTTTGATGCAGCTATGAAAGGCATGAACTTCTACAGTCAGCTCCAGGCAGAGGACGGTAGCTGGGTGGGGGACTTTGGCGGACCCCTCTTATTTATGCCAGGTAAGATGCATCACTCTCCTGTTTTACTCTTGTGGTAAATATCTGCAGCACTTCCATTCTAACTGAACTACTTTTTTTTTTTTTTTACTGGAGTGGATGACGATGCAGACTTTTAGTTGTCTGATTATATTCACAGGTCTTCTTGTTGTGTGTCATGTGACTAAGATCCAGCTGCCAGAGCCCTGGAAGAAGGAGATGGTGAGGTACTTGCGCTCTGTCCAGCTGTCAGATGGAGGTTGGGGACTGTACGTCAACATCAAAGATTTATCTTACGATTTGCTCACTGATATTCATCTGCTGTGAGAACATGCTTCTGATTTGTTGAGTCTTGTGACAAAAGTGGCAAACATGCTATTTCAGTTTGAGACACAGAGGAGACTGAGGGCACAGAGGACACTGATGAGGAGATTCAGGTGTTGTTCTGTCCCATTCTTAAGTTCTGGGTCTGCCCAAGGGTCCCCCTCAGTGGAATGTGCCTTATGAGGGATGTGCACACAAGGCATCTCAATCAGATGCCTGAACCACCGTTAGTTGACTCACTAACCTAATATGGTGGAGGAGTTTGAGTATCCCTCCCCCCAGATCCTGGCAGCTGTTGTATTGGGTGGTAGCCCTCACTAGGATCTCCCATGTCAAATGGGCCTCAAAGGAGGGGTAAAACTAAGCATTTGTAAATCTTGGTGAAAGAGACTCAACCATAAAAATGAAGGTTACTGGAAGGCCCACCCATGTAGGCCCACCACCTGCAGGGAGAGAAAAATCTGGCGCGGTGTGAGCCTGGTGGCAGGTGAGGGTGGGGCTCCAGCTGTGCTGATTCCTGTCATAAAGTAGCTATCTGGAGCAAGTCATTACTGGTATGAGCTGCTTAAAATAACATTTTTATAGTACCAGACATAATTTGCCAAGATCCAAATGTGTCTTAAATGTGTTGCAGCCTGAAATATACACTGCCTGGCCCCCCAAAAACATCACCACCTGGATTTAACTAAGCAAATGGGTACAAACCTCCTGATATTTACTGCATGGATGATTATCTTACAACTGGCCACAAGTTATTTAAGCCCAACTGGTGCAATGAGTTGCTTCTCATTTCTTAAACAACCATGTTGAAAGCCACATCGTGTGGTCGTGGAAATGATGTCAGTCTGTTTGAGAAGGGTCAAATCATTGGCATCAAGCACAGAAAACATCTAAGGAGATTGAAGAAACTACTAAAACTGAGTTAAGAACTGTCCAACACATTATTAAAAACTGGAAGGATAGTGGGGACCCATCGTCTTCGAGGAAGAAATGTGGCCAGAAAAAAATCCTGAATGACCATGATCAGCGATCACTTAAACATTTGGTGAAATCAAATTGAAGAAAAACAACAGTAGCACTCAGGGCTGTGTTTAATAGTGAAAGTAAGAGCATTTCCACACGCACAATGTGAAGGCAACTCAAGGAATTGGGACTGAACAGCTGTGTAGCCTTAAGAAAATCACTAATCAGTGAGGCTAACCGGGAAAAAAAGGCTTCAATTTGCTAGAGAGCATAAAGATTGGACTGTGGAGCAATGGAAGAATGTCATGTGGTCTGGTGAGTCCAGAGTTACCCTGTTCCAGAGTGATGGGTGCATCAGGTAAGAAGAGAGGCAGGTGAAGTGATGCACCCATCATGCCTAGTGCCCAGTCATCAATGCAAGATCTTGGTGGAAAATTAATGCCACACTGGATGGAAATAGATCTTGTTGTAGAAGCTTATCGAAACAATGCCACAGTGAATGCATGACGTTATCAAAGCTAAAGGTGGTCCAATGAAATATTAGTGTGTGACCAGTTTTTTTTTTTTTTTTGGTGGCAACATTTTTTTTTTTGGCCAGGCAGTGTATCTAAGCTAAAGCCCGACAAATTTGGATGTTAGGATTTTAATAACTACATAATGTTTGTATATTTGTGGATCCTTCAGGCATATTGAAGATATATCTACAGTGTTGGGAACGGCGCTGAATTACATCACAATGAGGCTCCTGGGAGTGGATGCTGATGACCCAGATTTGGTTCGTGCGCGAAACAACCTGCACAAAAAAGGTTTGAATAAAGTCATCATTAACAGTCAGCAATGACAAACAGACAAATAATAAGATGTATGGCATCCTTCCACTAGTTGTTAAAGCTTTCTTTATGATGATTTGTTTTTAGGTGGTGCAGTCGGGATTCCAACGTGGGGAAAATTCTGGCTCTCTGTCTTAAACGTCTACAGCTGGGATGGCTTTAATTCAGTATTTCCAGAAATTTGGTAAGCTCTAACAGCCTGTAATGTTGTCTTTTACTAGCTTTAAATAAAACAGAACTATTGAGAATCTCTGCTAATGTGTGAGAAAACAAGTATACAGTGCTGTGCAAAAGTCATAATCCATCCGGGCGAAGTGACAGATTGATGTTAGGTGTGTTCCCATCATCAATCACTAGCACAGTCTGGAGATTCAGAGCTGATAGATGTATTTATTTTGTGTGTTTAAGGTTGCTTCCCAGCTGGATGCCAGTCCACCCATCAAAAATGTGGTGTTACTGTCGTCAGGTGTACCGAGCTATGAGCTACTGCTTTGCTGTCAGACTGACTGCAGAGGAAGACCCTCTGATTCTCAGCCTGAGACAGGTGCAAATCTCAGCATGAACCACATGAGGGAGCCATGCTTGCTGACAATAATACAGTCTCAACTTTGTCAGTTGTAAATCAGACACACTGGCTTTGTTTAAAGATATAAATCCATCAGATTGTTTACTTTTTTTTTCATATACTTTCTGATTAACACTCCAGCATGGCCTTTTACATGGCCTTAATCTAACTTAAATGAGATGTGTTGCTGTCATCAATTTCAAAGTTGTTGGGTTTTTTTTTTTCTAATTTATTTATTTATTTTTAATTGTACAATTTCCTAGAATAAATATTCACTACAATAAATTGTTATTATAATGTGAGTTTATGAGGTTTAGCAAATCGTTGCTGTCTGTTTTTATTCACATTTAATACAACTTTTTTATAATTAGATCTTTGTTTTGACTTTTTCTTTATAAATTATTTGATATCAAAGTTTTTTTATGATTAGTTTCATGTTTGTATGCAGGAGCTGTACGTCCAGGACTACGCCACCATTAACTGGCCCGCTCAGAGGAACAATGTGGCAGCATGTGACCTGTATGTACCTCACAGCAAACTACTGAATGCTATCCTCTGTAAGTAAGCACAACTCAGTGTCAACAATAATCATCATTGCCACAGAAATGGTTATTTTGTTGTGTGATGTGACCTGTGGTGAGAGCAGGGAACAGGTGGAAGAGAACTTGAAGAGGTGGAAGTACAAAGTATGCACTTGAAAGAAGATTAATGAAATTCAGCCATAGCAAGACAGAGTACATGTGTAAATGAGAGGGAGTGGAATAGTGAAGCTACAATGATCAGAGGTCACAAAAGTGCAGGACTTCAAGTACTTGGGGTCCACTGTCCAGGAAAACATGGAATGTAGTAAAGGTGAAAAAGAGAGTCCATGCAGGATGGAGTGGATGGATAAAAACAACTTTCAGAAGTGATTTGTGACAACAGGGTGGCAGCAAAAGTCAAAGGAAAAATTTACAAGACAGTTTTGAGACCAGCTATGTTGTATAGTCTGGAGACAGTGGCATTGACAAAAAGACAGGAGAACTGGAAGTGGCAGAAATGAAGATGTTGAGGTTCTCAGGAGTGACAAGGATGGATAAAATTAGGAATGAGATCATCAGAGGTACAGAACAGATTGAACAACTGGGAGATAAAGTTAGAGAGACCAGACTGAGATGGTTTGAACATGTCTAGAGGAGGGACAGTGGGTATATTGGTAGAAGGATGTTAAAAATGCATCTGCCATAAAAAGACAAGAAGGAAAGCCAAAAAGGAGATGCAGTGTATGGATGCAGTTATTAAGGATATGGAGGTAGAGGAGTGAGGACAGAGGATGACTCGTGGTGGAGACACCTGAAGAGGGAACAGTTGAAAAAAGAAGTCAAAGAGATGTAACCAGATATTTAAAATGATACCTAGTACATTTAATGTACACAAAACTAAAGAACTCTTCAACCTTTTACAATATTCAGACATCAAATTGACCATGGTAACCAAACTACCAAAGTCCTTATCTAAACCTTCAGACTTTCAGAAAGTCTGAAAATGTTCTATTAAGACACCTTTTGAAGATTACAAGAAAGCCTGACTGCTTGGAAAAGAATAAAATGGATGAAGTCTTCATTAAAGGACTGATGTTAAACTTTGGTTTCATGCAGTTACAAGCCTTCTCCCTGCAGCCACCCCTAACTTTGTGACTCCTGTACTCCGACAGTGGTGTTGAACGTTTATGAAGACTACCATAGCTCCACACTGAGAGAAATGGCTCTAAAAGAGATATACGAGCACATCAAGGCCGACGACCATTTCACCAACTACACCAACATTGGTTCGGTAAGATAAACTCACACTTTCACAAGATTACAAAAACGTATTAATGTTGTATCTTTAATGCCTCTTCATTTTGGTATAGATCCCCAAGACCATGAACATGCTGGTTCGCTGGTATGTGGACGGACCCACCTCACCGGGTTTTCAGGGGCATTTATCCTGGATCCCTGACTACCTCTGGTCAGTCAGTCTTTAACAAAGATCAGCTTTAGCAAAACAAAACTCCTGCTCAATATGACATGTTAATATGTGCACATAAGAGATATAAGGAATAACTCATTTGCACCACGGATAATGAAATTGGAGCAGATGAAGCTTTGGGATTAAATCTAGATGCATCAATATATTATATTTAATTGTACCAACAAAATCCTATTTCTTTAGTTATGTGATGAAAAGTATGCAAGCAAGTTTGTTTCTACAGAAATCCAATTCACTGGGAAGTTAGTTTCTCCCACAAGATCTTTTAAAGCAGACAGCACACTGTCCCCGACCCATTCAAAACTCTCCTGTGTCAATTCTCCTGAATTCAGTTCAGTTTATTTAAACACTAATTCACAACAACCATCAGACCAGGGCACTATACAGAGAGTTCATAGCATAAATCCAATTCCAGTCCAATTAGTCAATTCAGTCCAGTTATAATACAACACAATTAGCTTCAGTGCATTGCAAAACCATGAATTAGTAAAAGAGGTATTAATTCATGGAAAGCAGAAGGTTGCATCATCATTTTGTCGCAGTCTTCCTTCCTGAGCAGATTGCTGGCAACAGTGGAAAGAGGTACCTTTCTTTTAAAATGAAGAAACCTTAAACAAAGCCAGAACCAGTCTGAGAATTTTTCGACCAGCCGGGGTTTGAGAGGGCAGAAAAGACACGCAGAGGGAATGGTCCAGGAGGTGTAGTTTCTATGGGAAGAAAAAAAAAAGTTAATAATAGAAATAATTACAAACATGAAAAGAAGAGTGAGTAAAAACAGCAGCAGAGTGAGATGTGGTCACTTTAACTTCCAGCAGTCTTAGCCTATAGCTGCAGAACTAAGGGATAGCTTAGCAAACCAAAGTCAACCCAAACTATAAGATTTATCAAAAAGGAAAAGTTTTAAGCTTAGTCTTAAAAGTTGACAGAGTATCAGCCTCACAGACAGAAACCGGAATTTGGTTCAATAAGAGAGGAGCCCGAGAACTGAAAGCTATGTCTCCAATTTTAGAAACTCTAGGAACCACAAGTAAATCTGCAGTCTGAGAGCAAATTGTAGAAAGTGCTAGATTCATGTAAAAATTCAGTGTAAACATTGGGCTCTGAATGACTTTTCTGAAATTTGTAGAAGAAGCAGAATTACCTAAAACTAACCAAAGCTAATAGGTACAAAATGTTAGCTAAAAGTATCAAAATGCTAAATAAAAGTATCAATACACTAGAATAAAGTTAAAAGAAGTAGTCGACTCTATATAAAAAAAAGAAACTGTCCAGATGACCTGACTGAGAATTATTGGATTTGATACCTGGATGATTGAGCATGAACTTTGTTGCCTTGAACCACTTTGGCTGTGACTGTCTGGAAGGATTCAACGGGGGGACAAGACGGCCCCCAGAAACCATCTTAGCTCCAGCAACCTGGTTGGTCCACTTAAGGAGTTTACTGCTTGGTGGGGAAACAGTTTACTGGAACTCCTCAGACTGATGAAGCCTTCCGGAAAGAGGACGAAATGTCTCTATATAAAACAAGAAACTGTCTATATCACGTATTTGCTTTGGGTCATATCACCCAACTCTACCATCAGTTGGAGTCAAATTCTTTGAGAATCCTTGTCATTAGCCAAATCTGTAAAAACATTTTTAAAGTTGCTAAACTAACTGTAAGGTTTCTGTCTTCCAGGATGGGGTTGGATGGCATGAAAATGCAGGTAGACATGTATTACTGCACTATAAATATTTAAAATAAAGTTAGTACCCCTTTATAGTACTACTTAATTTAAATATTTTGTTCTTCAGTACAAGTTTGTTGTTGTATTTTCCCCCACACAGTCAACAAACGGGTGTCAGCTCTGGGAAACTAGTTTTATTGTTCAGGCTTTTCTTGAGGTAACGATACAATGGACACTTGTGTTATAGTGTTTCTATTGTTCAAATAGTTTCTGAAGCTATATGTTTTCCAGGCTGGAGCTCAGAATGACCCCAAACTGGTTGAGTGTCTTTGTAAGGCTCATGATTTTTTCAAACTCTCACAGGTAAAGCAGACACTTAAAAGCCATTCTACAGAGCATGAACATCCGGAACCTTCAAAAATGATTTCTGATGACTCATTACTTCTTTCGCTCAGATACCTGAGAATCCTCCTGATTATCAAAAATACTACAGACAGATGAACAAGGTAAGACCAACCTCACTTTATATGCACGACACTCTAATTATCACCCTTCTATAAAGCCAAAAGTGCTGTTTTTGATGTGTCTGCTTGTTAGCAAAATATCTAATGAATCACCAGTGTTGGAAGTATCAAAGTATGTGTGAGGATGACTCCCAGCTACTACCACAATAAATTCTAGCTCATTAACTGTAAAACCGACCGAGTTAAGGTAATATTTCTGTTTGTTAATGTTAATTAGTTGTGGTGGCCATCCATCCATCAATTTTCTTCTTATCTGGGGTCGGGTCGCGGGGGTAGCAGTTTAAGTAGGGAGGCCCAGACTTCCCTCTCTCCAGCCACTTGGTCCAGCTCCTCCGGGGGAATCCAGAGGCATAGGCCAGCCGAGAAACATAGTCCCTCCAGCGTGTCCTGGATCTTCCTCTGGGCCTCCTCCCGGTGGGACGTGTCCAGAACACCTCACCAGGGAGGCGTCCAGGAGGCGTCCTAACCAGATGCCCGAGCCACCTCAACTGGCTCCTCTCGACATGGAGAAGCAGCGGCTCTACTCTGAGTCCCTCCCGGATGATCGAGCTTTTCACCCTATCTCTAAGGGAGAGCCCAGACACCCTGCGGAGAAAACTCATTTCGGCCACTTGTATCCGAGATCTCGTTCTTTCGGTCACAACCCGAAGCTCGTGACCATAGATAAGGGTAGGAACGTAGATTGACCGGTAAATTGAGAGCTTCGCCTTTTGACTCGGCTCTCTCTTCACCACGACAGACTGGTACAGCGCAAACTTCACTGCAGACGCTGCACCTATCCGCATATTGATCTCTCACTCCATTTTTCCCTCATTCATGAACAAGACCCCAAGATGCTTAAATTCCTCCACTTGGGGGCAGGAGCTCCTCCCTGACCCGGAGGGGGCACTCTACCCTTTTCTGGCTCAAGACCATGGCCTCGGATTTGGAGGAACTGGTCTTCATCCCGGCTGTGTCACACTCGGCTGCGAACCGCTCCAACAAAAGCTGTAGATCACGACCTGATGAAGCCAATAGCACCACATCATCTGCAAAAAGCAGAGAAGCGATCCTAAGGCCACCAAAATGAATCCCCTCAACACCTTGGCTGCGCCTAGAAATTCTGTCCATAAAAGTTGTGAACAGAATCGGTGACAAAGGGCAACCACCTAACTGTGGTGGCCATATTGAAGTTCAAATTCAAGTCAACTTTATTGTTGTTTCCATCACATGTGGTACAGGAGGTGGAATGAAATTATGTATACAGGGTCCCAGTTATACCCCAAAATAGCTAAATATAAAGTATAAAAAGAAACCTTAAATAAAGATCTAAGATATACACTAAGATATACACTAAACAAATACACTCAATAAATGCCAAATGGTACTCTAAAAGATCTAAGATATATGCTAAACACTAATAATGTAAAACAATACAGCGTAACAGCAGCCCGAACACGAGTCTGTGAGAGTAGATAGGTATGAATGAATACAGCAGCATGAGATAATCAGCAGCATGAGATCAGCAGAATGGATAATCAGCAGTACAGAGTTGACTAATAGTTAACCTCTTGTAGATGTTTTTCCAGTGATGAATTTCTGAATGTTTCCTTAAAATCCATCCTCTGGTTCATGGGATGTTTTGCTAACAGATAGGATACATGTGCAGACACAGGTAACTACATAAGCCCCAGCCACCATGAAAGGCAGATAATAAATTAAAGACAAATTGAGTGAATGAAGCACATTTCTCTTTATTTTGTTTATACACTGCCAGAGTCCTGTCATCGGCTCAAATTTGACAATAAATTGGTATTTTTTAATTAAAATACCAATGATTAGAAAATACATAAACACATATTTTGGACTAACCAAAACTGAAAAAGAAAACAAAAATTCAGTCCAATATTTTTTGCCATATTCATAATTTATTAGTTTACATTTGTTCTTATTTGTATCATTTGTTAGCCCTGCTTACTTCCTGATCTTTGGTTCACTGAGAGATTTTTTTAAATAGCTGTTCTGCATTTACAGCTCATGCACTGTGTGTTTCTGTGTGTGTTAGGGTGGTTTCCCGTTGACTAATCGTCACTTTAACTGGATCGTGTCTGACTGCACAGGAGAAGGCCTGAAGTCCGTGATGCTCCTGGAGGAGCTCTGTCCCTCCATCGAACAACCGTTCAGCTCTGATCGTCTGTTTGATGCTGTCAATGTGGTCAGTTACCAGAACCGTGCACCCATTTTCTCTGCTTTGTTTTCTTGAAGGTCCATAAACTGCAATTCAATTTTTAGTTTTAGTGCTGGTAGCACAATAAAAGTAACCTAATTGTGTTTTATGCTCTGTTTTTTTTTTTCTTTTTTTTTCTACCTTTTAATTTTTTGTTAATCTATTTCTAAACACATTGCAATACTTCAGCCTTTCACAAATAAAGATGTCCAGTTCATTCATGAAATGGATGCTTTGCCTTTTGGTATTCAGCTATTTTTAGCTAAGCTTTAGCTACTTGTAGCTACTGTTCTGAAACTTTTATTATCTAGCCAGAAATGTGCTATATTTAGCTTCTAAGTACCTTTTTTGATACTTTTAGCTAGTCTTTTAAATTTTTTAATCAAATTGTGATTTTAGCTTATAATTAGCCTGTTGTTACTTTTAGTATTTAGCTTACCCATTTACTGCTTTTAACTAGCATTTTACTATTTTTAGCATTTTGCTACTCTTTTGCTACTTTTTGCTGGCACTTTCCTACGTTTAGATGGTGTTTAGCTTCTTTTAGCTGGGGTTTTACTACTTCTAGTTCTTAGAAAGCTATTTGCTAATTTTAGCATTTAGCTATTTGTCTTCTTTTAGTTTTGCCAACTATGTTTTAGCTTGGGCAGCACAGTGGCACAACTGGTAGAGCTGCTGCCTCTCAGCAAGCAGGTTACCCTGGTTCAAATCTCGGTCCGGGGGCTTTTGGAGTTTGCATGTTCTCTCCATGCATGTGTGAGTTTTCTCTGGGTACTCTGGTTTTCTTCCCACAGACCAAAAATATGCATGGTGGGCTAATTGGTGACTGAATTGTCCCTAGGTGAGAATGTGAATTTTGTCTTGTTTGTATCTATGTGTCCCTGTGATGGACTTGCAACCTGTCCATGGTGTCCACTGCCTCTTGCACAGCAATAGCTGGGCATGGGCATGGGCATGGGCACCGGCGACCCCCACGACCCAAAATGGAAGAAGCGAGTAAAGATAATGGATGGAGGGATGGATGGATGTTTTAGCTTTTTGGGTAATTTTCAGCAAAGTCATTCAATATTCAGAATTGACACTGGAATTTCACAAAAAGAAATTGAATTTCTTTTGTAATTGGTTTGTTCAAATTTTCATCTCGTATCTTGTGCAGCTTTAAAGTAAAGCATGTAAATGTTACACCGAAATATGTAGCTGCATCAAAGTGTGCCATGACTGTTGGTAGTAATAAGCTGCTCAACATAGATAAACTTATCCATCCATCATCTTCCAATTGTTCCGAAAGATAAAACTTGCCAGAAAACTAATAAAACTTGGATAAAAATCACTGGCTGTAAATCTACAGCGGAACATTTAGAACCAGTCCAGCTCAAAATGGCCACCACTGTAAGAAGACTGTCATGGTTCACAAAACATGCTATTTGCTTAAAACCGGTTTGTTAGATGCTAGGCACATAAAAACAGCAGACTAAACATACGTTTTTATCTTACTCCATTTTGACTTTTCTGTGGCTGCCGTAGCTTGAGGGGCTGCAGTTTTGTAATTCTGAGGTTGGAGGTTTGAGTCCAGGTTGTGTCAGGAATGGCATCAGGTGTAAAACAAATTCCCAAATGTTTCATGAGAGTTTGCTTGCTGTGGGGACTCCTGAAGAAGGGAGCAACTGAAAGAAACTTACTTTTACCATCACGTCTGTTGTTGTTCTTCAGCTGCTGAGCATGAGAAACAAAGATGGCGGATTTGCAACATATGAAACTACAAGAGGAGGAAAATTCCTGGAGTGGATCAACCCATGTGAGATATTTAGTAAGTCTCTTGCAGACTTCATTTCAAACCCTTCACTATGAGGTTTAGTTAGTCCTAAACCAAAACTTTTTTCTAAAATAGATTAAACCCTTCCTCAGTTCTGTGCAGAAGAGCTCTGTTAAACTCAAAAATAAAACCAAGAAACTGAACACAAAACATGACATTATTTTTCTTTCTGTCTATAAAGTGCAGTATTATCATGTTTAAAATCCTTGGTTAAAATGGAAAATTTGTTTACGGTTATCAATGTGAGAATGAGAATCAGTACCTCCAAATCTGAGGCCATGTTCTTCAGTTAGAAGAGGGTGGTGTCGTAGCGAGCTGGTGCTGGTAAACACAGTTGTGCAGGCAGGCAGTTGAGGACTCAGGAGAATATAAAATAAAGAATGTATTTACAAAAACAAGCTGTCAGTGTGGCAAAACTTACACGAGAAACAAGGAGCAGACCAGGACATCACCAGTGGACAGGTAATGCTAGGACAAGGAGTGAGACAAACACACAGGCTTAAATACAGGAAACACCATAGACAAAGTGAAGGCGCCTGTGAGTAATCACAGATGCCAAAGACAGAGACTGAGGATACAAGACATAAACACAAGATGGAGCCAGATACTAAAGAAACACAAGCCCTATAAAACTAGAAACAGAGGATCAGGAAAATGCAGACCTAAACACACCAGAAGGGGCTAGACAACAAGGAACATAAACCATAACCCTTACAGGTGGATGACTCTCTTTGAGTCGAGGGTGAAGTTCTGCCTCAAGTTGACAAGTTCAAGTATCTCTGGGTTTTGTTTACGAGTGAGTGAAGAATGGAGCATGAGAATGACAGATGGATTGATGCAGGGTCTGCAGTACTGTGGACTCTGTGCCAGTCCATTGTGGTAAAGAAGGAGCTGAGTTGTAAGGAAAAGCTCTCTGTTTACTGGTCGGTCTACATTCCTACCCTCGCCTATGGCCACGAACTCTGGGTAGTAAACGAAATAATGAATTTACGGATACAGGCGGTTGAAATGAGTTTCCTCCACAGGGTAGTTGGACTCTCCCTTAGAGATAGAGTGAAAAGTTCAGTTATCTGAGAGAGGCACAGTGTAGAACCACTGCTCCTTCACATCCAGAGGAGTAAGTTGAGATGGTTTGGGCATCTGGAAAGGATGCTTCCTGGGTGCCTCCCTAGGGAGGTGCTTTGGGCATATCCGACTGGGAGGAGATCCCAGGGAAGACCCAGGACACGGTGGAGAGACTATGTCTCTTGGTTGGCCTGGAAATGCCTTGGGATCCTCCCAGAAGAGTTGGGAAAGATGGCTGTGGAAAGAGATGTTTGGGTCTCCTTGCTCAAGCTGTTGCCCCCACAACCTGACTTTGGAACAAGAGGAAGATGGATGGATGGATGGATGGATGGATGGATGGATGGATGGATGGATGGATAATATCACTGTTTTCTGTCTTCAATAGGTGACATCATGATAGACCATACATTCGTGGAGTGTACCTCATCAGTGATGCAGGCTTTGAGGCTCTTCCAGAAGGCCTATCCTGGTCACCGTACCGAAGAGATAAGGTACATGAGTACAGGACAGTGGAAAAGTCCTGATTATTAGTGAGGAAATTTACTACATTACCAGGAAACTTCAGTGAAAAAATCAGGTTTACATGAATGCCTTTTAACTTTCAGTTTAACAAAGGTGTACAAAGAGGTATGAATGTCATTGATATACAACTGAATTTTGCTAAATACAAATATCTGTTAGTTGTACAGAGACTGGAAAAAAAGGGAAAAAAAATCTACAGTCATGTGTTTACCTAGTTGCAAAAAAATAAAGATTTCATCAGTTCAGAAGCGAGTAAAGAGACAACTTAAAGTAAAGATGGACCAAGCAACGCCAATAACTTCCAATGTCCAAAATTTAGGCCAAAATGTTAGTTTCCTTTGGGACCTTGCCATTTAATGTTTTCATCCAAGGAATGCTAGACATTAATTTATGTTTTTTTTTTTTCACTTATCTCAGACCTATGAATCATTCAGATGTGAAAATAATTCTAAATTTAAAAAACTGAGCAAATCTTGTGATTTTTAGATGTTTTATACCAGCACCATGTTACAAGAATACAATTAGTTTATTTTTATCTTTATTTCAATCTTTTAAAAAATCCTGAAGATAGCAGTTTGAAAATTAAGAACCTTAACAAAAGTTTACTTTTTTAAAATGTCCAAAGACCTTCGAATTAGAACAAGAAAAGCAGCCATTACTCAAAGAAATTGAAAGACGACAGCTGATGTTCTCAAACCTGAATACAATTGTTTTTGCATTGAGGGGGGCATTTTATTATTATTATTAACTTATATGTTATTATATTATACTTTATATTTTAGCTATTTTTGGGCGCAACTGTGCCCCTGAGTACACATTTTCGATCCACTTCATGTACCACGTGATTCAATTCAGTTTTAAATTCAGTTTATTTATATAGTGCCATATCACAACAAAGTTGTCTCTGGGCACTTTACAGGAACATACACATACATAGAAAAGCCAATTAGTAAAGTTCTCTATCTAAGGAATGTGATGCAAATGACAAATCAAAAAACCTTGAACTTGATTTTTACGGTGGCACAGTTTAAAAGAGCCACCACCTTTCAGCAAGAAGGTTGCCGGATTGAATCTCGGCCAGGGGGGCCATTCTGGGTGGAGTTTGTATGTTCTCTCTGAGTGTGCAAGGGTTTTCTTCGGGTACTCTGGTTTCCTCCCACAGACCAAAAACATGCATGTTAGGCTGATTGGTAACTCTAAATTGTCCCTCGGTATGAATGAAAGAGTGACTGGTTGTTTGTCTCATTTGTCTCTATGTGTTCCTGTGATGGAATGGAGACTTGTCCAGGGTGTCCTCCGCCTCTCGCACAGTGACTGCTGGATATGGGCACTAGTGACCCTTGTGACCCGAAAAGCAAGAGTCACCAATGCATCACCATACCAACAGGCCGGATGGTGCCTCTCCTGTTTAAAACAGAGAACATGGCGTATGAAGCTTCCGAAAGAGTGTTGACTTATCAGACCACACAACAGTTTTCTGCTTTGCTTATGTAGTGACGCCCAGAACAGAACCCGTCTCTCTGACTTCTTATTTAAGAAAACAATTTTTTATTCTTCAGCTCCACTCTGAGAGAAGGTCTGGAGTTCTGCAGGAAGGTGCAGAGACCTGATGGATCCTGGGAAGGGTGAGCCTGGACTTGGTGTTTCACCACCTGATAACTACGTAACTAACAGGTCTCACTCAGTCTGGTTCTGCTTGTCCTCAGGTTTTGGGGAGTGTGTTTCACGTACGGAACCTGGTTTGGCCTCGAAGCCTTCGCCTGCATGGATCACACTTATGAGAACGAGTAAGACGACCAAAGAACGTGTTCAAGAACAGCCAGTTCTTCTGAACAAATCAGGACTTTACCTGCAGAGCAGAATGAGTCTGATGCTTCCTCTGTAACCAGGGAGGTGCCTGACGAGGTGCAGAAGGCTTGTCAGTTCCTGCTGGACCGACAGATGTCAGATGGAGGCTGGGGGGAGGACTTTGAGTCGTGTAAGCAGCAGCGCTACATCCAGAGCAGCACTGCTCAGATCCACAACACCTCCTGGGCTTTGCTAGGACTCATGGCTGTCAGGTGAAGCTTTGGGGTGTTTACCAACACATGCTTTCTTTCACACTTTGTGCAGGGTGTGTTTTTGCCAGGAGTCTTTCTGATATAGAATTAAACTGAAGAAAATGAAAAATATTGTGTTTAACAGACATCCTGACCAGCAGGCTATTGAGAGAGGAGTTCAGTTTTTGATTGATGAGCAACTGCTCAATGGAGACTGGCCACAGGTGAGTTGGTTACACGTCTTTTACTCTGAATACACTTGTTTTCCTTTGCAAATAATAAAGTTAATCACGCCAACTTTGGTGACTGGAATAATCGATAGTTCTCTGACTATCTGACACTTCTTTGGCTGCTTTAACACTCGATTTAAGCCACTCACCTACAAATCATTCAGATATAACTTAGCTCTTCAACAAGGTGATTCTCAAACTGGAATCTTGACAATCAACT